ACACATTATCAGCACACATACACCCCCACTGTCGTTAAGCGTCAAGAAAATTCTCGTACTCAGACCGCCAAACTAGTGCGAGAGCATGCAAAGCTAAGATGACGACCCTACCGCAAGACCTGAGGAAAGAACCGTGCGTGAAATCAGACAATGGCGATATCGGTGCGTCACTGAAGGAATAGAGGATGTCTGACGTGTGAATTGGAAAACATGCGCGCCAACTAGTACGCTTAAAGTAAGTGGTTAGTTCACCCAATTGCTAGACACCCCTCCTGCGATAAGGTCGAAAAATTACTGGAACCGATCACAAAGAAAAATCGTCCCAAACAATTTTAGGATGCAAAGAGCGTTGAGGGAAGAATCCCGACGACTCCATTCTCAGACAGTCAATGCTGTCCATTCACCAATAGACGTGTAACAGCACAGCGAAACTGAGTGCCTCAGTTGGAGAACCTGCACGCTCCGATAAAAACCCGCGTGTGTTATCGGATCATCCCAGAAGCACCACTGGGCCGATTACGAGTATCGACAGTTCCACTAGGCCCCGTGCGATTCCTGGTTACACGACCCAGGGACTGATGTCAGACAAGTAGTAGTAGCCTTATGCCAACCCAGGCCTGTTTTCCAACCTAAAGCGTTGGGTCCTGACTGGTGGGGGATAATACAGGATCTGGCTTGGAATGTGGACTGAATAGAAGGTCTGGCCGGGCTTGAGACAGAACCTGCGGACTCCGTCGGTTGCAACTACTGTGAGGGCGTAGTCTCTCCACAGAGCGTCCAGGGTACCTGACAGCGGATAACCCAACCACATGGCATACCCAGTGTAGGAGGTTCACGATGGTGGGCCATTTGGAACAACTAGTCTAAGCCAGTTGTGAACCGCGAGGGGTTATGGTGGCTCCGGGTCTTGTTCTTGATTGTTGTGGCCTGTTCATCGTTGGTTCTCAGCAGATTGCAGTCTGACTGGTTGATTGTTACTAGCCAGAACTCCACCTTCAGAACCACTGTTTCTTTGAGATCGGTGCGTGGAACCATCGACGGGAAACTTCCTCTACTGTTGTGATATTTAAGCGGTTCAACCAATCGGGCCGGTCACCAACACCAGAATGAAAGAAGGATGCCGCTTAATCATCTTTTCCTGATCAGAACAGAGAGCAGCTTGAACAATGGACAGCTCCAAGTTGTCGATCGTCCGAAGCCATACTAACAAACAAAGGCATTTCATTGAATTGTAAAACCTCGACCGAGGAAAAGCCCGCCATTGACTGAGACATAGGCGCGATATGGCGGCTTTTTCATGGCCTACTCATTGCCTTGTTCGTCATCATCCAAAACCCATAGCTGTGATAAGCCAGTCTGAGAAGCCATGGGATCCTTGTGTCACCATGGCTTGCGGTCTGATTGATTAGTATATAGGCATCTCATGCTGTCCATGGCAGAATATGTTGAAATCGAAATTTATAACGAGCTGGCATCATAGCTCCGGCATAGAAACGTATCCGTGCTATAACTCGGAACGAATCATTCGCTATGGGCAACTGCGTTTCTTCATATTGGGGGAAGTGGGCGTTGTGTGTACGAGATAGCGAGACTTCAGCACGATCCTGGTCTTCCACAGACTTCACTGTGAGGTCAGTTCTATCCCAGTCACTACCAGAGCAGCCATCGACCGAGCCGTCATCTCCCGAGCAGGGAACAGCGGAGCAGGCAGTGCTCGACGAACCCCGAAAAGCATCTCAGAATCTCGATACTCTGCCTGCAGAGCTATTCGATATGATCGCCAGCTACCTTGACCGGGATGGGCTCTATAGCCTCTATCTCGTCTCCCAAAGGGTGAGCAAACTGGCATACCCGTCCATTCTTGCTTCCTTACATGCCAGGAAACACACCGGGCTCACGCCAATAGAGATCGAAAACATCCACACTCTAGCGATTGACCCCACAATCAATCACCTTCCCAGGTCGTTGCATGTAACTGTGCCCTATATCGGGCACAGTGCCGCACGGAAGGTAAGTTGGGGGCGCCTATCTTACGACCGAAAGGCCCTTCATGAGCTTCCAGAGATGAAAGCATTGAGGCAGGACTTGAATCGGTTAGTCAACTGCAAAGAGTTTCATTTCACACTTACCAGGGCAGGGTCGGCTTTGGAGAACAAAGTCATGTACATCGAGGACGCTCTTTATGCGGTCCTTGCTGAAAACACCATCCCAGTCGAGAAACTCATACTGGACAGCAGGGTTGTTAAGTCGCGGGCGAACGAGAAGTCAATGATGCACCCAAATCTTGCAAGGGTGTGGAGGCGCCTGAAATCGCTCAAGATTACCGAGTCGCCCTCATTAGATTTCTCGAGAGGTACTGCTCTCTCCCACATCCTTCAGCACGCCCCAGAACTTCGAAGCCTTTCCCTTCACAGTCTAGCTGATACCCCCGCACGTCGCTCAACAATATTCAAGTTAGCGAGCTCCGCAAACATACGAACTAACCGACTCGAGAAGCTGAGGCTCTCGTATCTTACAGTTGAGCCGGAAGATCTGATCATGTGGCTGACACGCTTCAGTAGTACCCTGAGGATACTGGATCTTCAATCCATTGGCCTGGCGCACGGAAGCTGGGTAAATGTGGTCCAGCACATCCTCGACTCATGTCCTAACTTGCAGAAAGTTGTTGTGGACTACCCGTGGGTTTTTAATTGGAACCGGCGTGCCTGGGATAAATTTGAGTGCTCGGGGCCAGATATTCGAATAAAGCTAGAGCAATTGAAGCAGAGCGCCACTGAAGCCAAAATTTAACTTGTCAAGGGCGACGTCCTGGCAAGTATCCACTCGTTTGTGTACAAAAGTACCATCTCTGTATATGTTTGAGTTTGGAGAAGCTGTCTAGTACATAGATTCCTTTTGTTTGTTGTGTGTACATTTCTCTTGAACATTCCCATATTTTCGTCGTGTCTATTGCATGTTTGAGGTTCCGATCTATGTGATGTAAGCTGCCCACCCTTTCGGTGTTTGCTTTTCTTTTTGTCCGATTTTCTTCTGTTCTTTCTTTTTTTCTACCCCTCTCAATCATTGGCCCTTGATTAGATGGTTCCTGACAGGCAGGTACCAGATGCCATGGGTCGCCCACCATCCAGATCGTCCCATGGTCTATATGACCGGCAGGAGATCGTGCATGGTAGCGAGCCAGGCTACCATCACTTGCTTAGACTATTGCCCTTAGCATAATATAATTCAAGAATTGTGTTCAACCATTGTGTGTGTCTGTCACTTGACCTGAAGCCTGTGTGACAGGCCGGAAACGGCGAAAAGAGCGTCCGTCCATTCCTATGATATAATCGCCCGACCGCATGATAACCAAACCGCGTAGATCTTGGAGATGCGTGCATCCTTACCCAAGCCAGGGATTGCGCGCGCCTTTCCGAATTCGGCCAGATAGAGTTTTCCGAGCCATGCACTACTTCAACTAGGTCCTCGCGGGTTCCACCGGCAGCACCTCACGAACCCTTCTTCAGAGTCGGGCGGATATGACTAGACCCCTCTGTCTCCAGTAGTGGCCGCTAGTTTGGTTGGTCCTGACCGTTTTAGGTTTTTTTCGTTCCTCGCTTTTGCCTCCAGCGAGATAGTCCGCCTCCTGGAGGTTGTCCGAACTCGAGGCGGATCATACCCGATTGAGGCAAAGAAGGTGTGGGTTTCCCATGTGTACTGTTAGTTTAGCTCATTTTGGCATACTTGATTGTGGAGGATAGGGCGGATCAAGGGACCAGGGAAGATGAATGGATGAAAAGAAGGGAATCGAAGTAGAAGAAAAAGAAGAAGCGCCCACAACTCAGAAAAAACAAAATATCCACCGATCGGATCAGATCACCTATGGAAAGGTCCGTAGACGAGATACTTGGAATTAGCGAAGTTATGCTGCCAAGGAACGGGATGAATCCGGAGCACACCGCTTGGGGACTAAGGGAAGAAGCGACCGGTGTCTCTGCTGCAGGCGCCTCTGACGACGATGGGGGAGGGGGGGGAGGAAGATGTAGTGTGGTGTTTCAGGCCCAAAGTTGCTTCGCAAGGAGGGAGAAGAGAGATAGAGAGAGGGGAGAGTGGGAAAGTGGGAGTGTGGGTGCGTTACTTGAGTGGTCACGCCTCCACGCCGGTTGCTTGTCGGGGTACTTTGCCTCATACTTTCAGCGCCGGATAGGGCCTGAAAAGATGACAAGAACCATGGCGAGTGTTTCACGTCTGTTATTCGAAAAATTTCGTTTTTTAATTTTTATTTTATTAAATTTTACCCTCTATTTTTTTTTGTCCTTCTTACTTACATAGAAGTAAGTGGATAGTGAATGTTCTAGGCCAACACGGCAGAACAGAGAGAGGGAGGTAGACTACCCCGTATCTGTCACTACGACAGCGCGACTAGATAGATAGATAGTAAGTAACCCGTAGTGGCGAGGCGCAGCAGTAGCTACATGCCACAAATAGAACACAAATCGACTATGACGGGAGGAGACGGAGTACCTATCTAGAGACTACGCAATAAGAATGAATAGTTTGATAGTTAAATGGAAGGACTTGCTGAAATTTAATTCATTTCCAATGTCCCAAGTCCATCCTTTCGTTTTCATTAGCTTGATTCTTGTTATTGTTGCAATCCAGCGTCACTCTCTTTCTTGGGTCCCGAAAAGAAAAGAGGCCGCCCACTTTTTTCGCTCGTTTGCCCACTTCCAGTCCGCGCTAAACCCCCTTCGGCCACAACTCGGGCGGCCCTGGCTTCCTGAGGCAGCAGCCACTCCGTCCCCAACTCGTCCGACTGACTTGAACTGGCCTTGACTGGCTTGAAACTCGGCTCTTCTTCCCCTTCCCTTCTCCTCTTTCTCATTCCTCCCTCCACTACCTAATCACCACCACCACTACCACCACCATCACGACATCCTACCCTCTCCCACTCCATCCCACCAACGCTTCATCCTCTCCATCCTCAGTCTATCATTCTAGATTCGTAACTTCTCTTGGCTGTCGTGATTATTATCACTCTTTTATCCCCTTCCTCTCCTTCCGACTCGTCACTCTTTCCCGCTCTCTCTCTCTCGCTCTCTCCTTCTTAACTCTCAATCCGGCTTCAGTCGACCCAGGTGACTGGCCGACTCCTCTGAGAGATTGATTGAAACAAACAGGTAGCCCGACAGGGCTGTTCAACGCCATGTCCGGGCGTCTATCATCCGACCACAACCGTTCCTTCTCGCAGTCCTCGCGACCCCCGTCTCAACAAGTCGATTCAATGCATCATCGTTCCATGTCCGGTCGCTCCTCCAACCCCAATGTCTTCTCCGACGAATACTCCTTAGAACCTATTGATGCCGAACAAGCCACTCTCACCCCTCGAAGCCCCTCTATCTCCTCCAGTGTCTCCTCTAACACCCTTCGTGGTTCGGTACCCCAACAGCAGCAGCCCAAGGCCTACAACACCATCCCTCCAACCGATGCCGAATTAGCTGAGGATCCTTTCGGCGATGAGGCTCGGGTTTCCTTCGATGAAACCCCCCACCGATCGAGTCTTCCTCCGAAGGGGGTGGATCTAGCGAATCGCAACTCCGTCGCGTCCACCGCTCCTTCCATCACCAGTCGCAGCCAAAGTGCCTCCTCGCGTTTCTCCATGCCCGTTCGGGCTTTGAGCCCCTACACGGGGGCAACCGGTCCCAGCCATCCGTATGCGATGTACCCGCAGGTCGGCGTTAGTCGCTCTCCCAGTGTGGCCACCACATCGACATTACGACCGGTGGACCGACCGTTAGAGGACACGACTGCCCCTCAGCATCCGTATGCAATGTACCCACAGAACGTGGTGGCAGAGGATGACGGAATTGACAACTCTATGGTACCTCTTGGCTTTCCCGGACACAACGCGCAAGTCTATCAGCGACCACCTAACCGAGCCGATGACGATCTTGGCGACTTAATTGGACCGGATGGTCATACTGAACAACTACCTCCTTACTCTCGTTATCCCGAAAATGCTGTTCCCAAAGTGGAGGGCACCTTTGCGACCGTCAATGATGCTGGCATCATGCAAGACGAAATCCTTCATAATGAGCGTGCTGGACCACCCATGTCGGAGGTTTCCTCAAATACACTAGTGATGGAAAATACAACCAGTGGAGGCGGTAACGTCAACGGTAACGGTAATGGAAACAGAGGCCTCGAAGAACCGCCGGTCACTGGGGTCATGGCATTTGAGGAGAAATTGAAGAGTAAAGGCAAGAAAAAGGCATGTTGTGGATTACCGGTCTGGACGCTGGTTTTGGTGGGAGTGGTTATGCTTATTGGAGGGTGCATTGGTGGTATTATTGGCGGCGTGCTAGGAGCAAGAAAGGCAGCCGAGCAAGACCACGGGGGCCAGCCGAGTCGCCCACATATCGTGACGGTGACGGAGACGCCCAGGATGGACGCGACTCCCGTGACAGCCACGCCCACCAATCTGCTGACGCTCCCTACTGGCCAATACGCTATCCCCGCATCTCCTAAGAACCAGTCGAAATTCTGCGTGGCTGATTCGGACTACCGGGTGTCGTGGGGTTGCCTCAATTCGGGCAAGATCCCTATCAATGTTGGAGGAACGGAAGAGCAACGCAATGTTACATTCGAAGACTCATACAGCAGCGCTTATTCTTCTTCACTCACTTACGGTGCCCAGCAGCCCGTCTTCTCTAACCCTACTCAGAATTTGAGTATGATGATGGACTCCAATGATCTCAGCTTTGGCCCAGCTTTGACCTTCATGACGTTCTATGATAAATTGGTCATTGTGCCGCAGGATAGCTTCCCATCGAGCTCGTCCTCCAAACGAGACTATGTGACTGAAGATGAAGTCGTGTCGAGTATGCTGACTCGCAAGGAAACGGCTCAGGCCGGCGACAAGCCGTGGTTCTGTTGGTGGAATAGCACGGTCATGGAGTTCTTTTTGTATATCAACGAGACGACCAAGGAGTATCAGTACAGCAGCACCGCAGTTGTGACGACGACAAGCACTCAGATAGCGCAGGCCACTCAAGGGAGCTCAAACTCCTACTCCAAGAGAGACAGCAGCAGCAGCAGCAGCAGCAGCATCGCCGACTACCCTCGTCGGATCAAGATGGAGGAGAAGCGAGACAACCCTTCGGCCGCCAATCCATACTGCCAGCAGATGCAGGTCCTGGACGACGGCCAAGTCGGCCCAATTTCGCAAGAGACAGTACAAATCAAGGTGGTTCAACCCACGCCGACGACGACCGTGGAGGCCGCCACGGGGACATCGCAGACATATACGGCCAAGGCCGAATATGAGAGCTATTGCTATTGCATATCCCTGACGGACTGATGCGACAGGGCATGAAACCGAAGAACGAAGATGAAACGAGAGCGGCTTTTGTTTGCCAACGTGGCCTCTTACAATTACGGCGTCGGCGTTAGACCAAGGAACGATTTTCTTCTCGACTCACGTGCATACGAATGATTGTCTTGCGAAGACTGCTGGTTTATTTTCTGGGTATGAGATCCGGTACTGTTGACAGAGTACGGCGTGCATTCCGTGTATTGAACACCCCTGAAGCTGGGTGGCATTGTCCTTGAGCTATTTTCTGGTTGATTTTGGCTTGCCTATTTGCATTGGCACATTTATCACATTTTTGTCCGACAATAGTTCGGCGGCGTTTTTGGGTGGGAAACGGTGCCAGGCACTATACACTACGGGCATGACAAGTCATTCGTTTAATGCTATCGAGGCCCGCAACTTCTGGACCTTTCCTTGCTGGCTTTTGTTTTCTATTACCTTGTTATCGGCGGCCATCAATGGGATGGCGTTTGGTATTGTGGCATTTCGACATGTTCTGGCAATATTGTCTGAATTCATTGGCTTTCATGGGCTGAAGCAGCCAAGATAATAAATTCTGGGTTCAAGAGATGCTTTTTTGGGTCTCGCGGGCGAGCGTAACGAGTGCGTCTATTCAGTGGAACAGGTAAATCCTAAGAACTGGGGCGATGTTTTGGTCGATCCATGAGTTGCAAGGTGGATGACCGGTCGGCAACGTCATGGCGATCGCGACATCGACCTCTGCCTACTATATAGGCGAACAGCCACTGAATGATGTTACCTCATACTATCTTTTTTCCAAACTACTATCAACTATCTATCCAAGATCTATCTATCTGTCTGCTAGATTGTTACATTTTCCACCACAGAAATACCATCAATTACCAAGTTTGCTACCATAACCTACATCATGAGCGTCTTCCTCCGTAACCGCCTTTCCCTACGAGCCACACCCTCCTCCATCTCCGCCCGCCAACTGGCACCTCTTCGCAGCGCCTACTACTCCCTGGGGCAACGCCTCTACGCTCACAGCTCGTACGGGGGCGAAGGCGACACCGAAGCCCAGCAGCCCAATAACCCGCGGAACCAACCCACGCGAGACATTGAGCACCCAGGTATGCAGCAGTGATGTTATACACCGGTCGCATAGAAGCTGATGATCCAATTTAATTTATTTAGGTCCGCCTGCACCGGACACGGGCTCTGCGAAGAGCAGCAGCGACAGCAGCAGCAGCAGTAGCAAGGAGCCATCGAACAAGGCCCATCCGACCCTAGCTGATGGGGATGAGTCGCCGTATGTCGATAAGGATGGGAAGACCTCGGCGGATGCGCCCGAGGATGTGAGACGGCATAATGAGGAGATTGAGAAGAGGGCGGATCGGCCGTCGGAGCGGGTTGGTTGAATCTGGAATTAGTTTTGATTGCGCCATTTTGATTTTTTGTATTATTTATTTGTGATGTGGATTAGATTGTGGATGGAATAAATAGGACCACAATGTGTAATCTATGTTGTGAGAGAAAGAGAGAAAGAGGGAAGTCCGTGCCCTGTCTGCTCCGGAAAGTACAGTAGTAGTAGTACTCCGTAGTCTAGTCTAGACTGGCCACGTTACGACGAACGCGGATCTCCCGCGGCAATAATAATACTAACCTAACTCACCTCTTTTCTCCTGACGACAACAGTTCCAATCTGTCTGTCACCACTCACCCACACACACACATTCGCTACCCCACCTAACTGAATCCATTCTCTTTTATTTACCTGTCAAACACAATGGGCGCCGAAAACAAATACTCGGTCATCCTGCCGACCTACAACGAGCGCAGGAACCTCCCTATCATCGTCTGGCTCCTGGAGCGGACCTTTCGCGAGAAGTACACCTCCCACTTCCTTCCCAACTTTCCCCCCCTCCCTCCCAATTTCTCCATCAATCACTAACGAAGAACAATAATAGCAACCTAGACTGGGAAATCATCATCGTCGACGACGGCAGCCCCGACGGCACTCTCGAGATCGCCAAACAACTCCAAAAGCACTACGGCGCGAACCACATCCTCCTACACCCACGAGCAGGCAAACTCGGTCTAGGAACGGCCTACATCCACGGCCTCCAATTCACGACCGGCAACTACGTCATCATCATGGACGCCGACTTCAGCCACCACCCGAAATTCATCCCGGAGATGATCCGCATCCAGAAGCTGGGGGACGCAGATATCGTGACGGGCACACGGTACGCGAGCCGCGATGGCATCAAGGGTGGTGTGTACGGATGGGATTTGTTTAGGAAGTTTACTTCTCGCACGGCGAATCTTATTGCGGATGTGATGTTGATGCCTGGGGTGAGTGATTTGACGGGAAGTTTTCGGTTGTATAAGAAGAGTGTGCTGGAGAAGGTTATTCATAGTACGCAGAGTAAGGGGTATAGTTTTCAGATGGAGATGATGGTCCGCGCGAAGGCGATGGGGTTCAGGGTTGCTGAATGTCCGATTACGTTTGTGGATAGGTTGTATGGGGAGAGTAAGTTGGGGGGAAGTGAGATTGTGGAGTATTTGAAGGGGGTGGTGACGCTTTGGTTGAAGGTTTAGGGGGGTTACCTATCAAGAGGATGGGGTGCTGGTGTGGGTGGTGGTTTCTTTTATACCCTCTTTTTTTATTCTTTCTAGCTTGAGTGCTCTGTATAGTATTTACTGGGTTCAATGTGTGTTTGTCTGCTGTCTATCTATACGACTTATAGGTAGTGTTGTATGGTTTAGAGTCTGGCCAAATACCCCCTCACCCTCTCCACCAACTCCTCCTGTCCAACATCCTGCACATTATGACTTGCCCCCTCGATCACCGCACTCCCCTCCGCATCCCATTTCACCTCTCCAGCCCCCTCATCTGTCGCCTTCTGCCACCTCTTCATCAACCCCTCCACATCCAACCCAGGCTTCCTATACTCATCTGCCCCCGAATACAACGCCATAAGCCTTCCTCCCAACAACCCCCTCTCCCCAACAACCCCAAACGTCTCACGGAGCTTCTCATCCCCCAAATCCGCACTAAACAAGTCATCCTGGCTCGGATTTTCAGGACTCTCAGGACTCGCCAGACTCAAAAACCTCCACGCATTGACCGGCGTCTCCGCATCCAATCCCACCAAACTCGTCAAGTTCAGCGGCAGAATCGCCCTCGGATCCTCAGCCACAGCAGCCTTCGCCAGCCCAACCAGCTGCTCGTAGGCACCCCGCGCCTCGGCCGTAGTGATGGTGATGTGCATTCCCTCGCGGTCCGAAACGGGCGCTTGCATGATTGCGCCGTCGACGGGGGGTCTAGTGAGGTATTGAAGTCCGTTGACGGCGGGGTTGTGTGGAACTGGGTTCGGGGCTGAGAGGTAGTGAAGGACGTCCTGGGAGCCGGTCGAGTGGCCCATTATGACGATTTTGGATTCAGGGCCTTTGAGTTTCCGGATGTAGGTTATGCATTGGGCGAGGTCTTCGATGTCGCGGTCGAGACTGTTCACGCCCCAGCCTTGGTAGGAGGTTGTGAGGAGGACGTTGAAGACGCTCCATGTATTCTTGTTGTTGGGGGTGGTTGTGGTGGTGGAGAGGGCGGAGGCGAGGGTTGGGACGTAGGGGACTGTGAGGAGGCCGTCGGTTAGACCGCCGATGAAGAGGAGGGCGTTGGTACTGGGGGTGCTGTTGGGAGGGGTGAATTCGAAGGCGACGAGGCGGGGGGCCTGTGGTGGTTAGTTATTTGGTTTGGTTGCGTATAGAATTGGAGGGATTGGAGGGGATGTACGTAGTGGTGGAGGATGCCGGGGTGAGACATGTTAGTCGGTTGTGGTTGTGGTTGTGTATGTGTTAGAGTGAGGATGTCTGTGCGTAAAAGGGTTTGGATGGTAGTTTCTTGTCAGATAGATGGTAGGTAGAAAGTTGTTAGAGCATTGCTGCTAGCTGCGATGAATTGTGGTTCAAGAGATGCGCAACTGCTGCCGGCCCACTGCTTGCATGAGCGGGGTCTTTTAGTGTGGACAGGCTGATACGGACGTCGTTGGATAGTAGCCGCATGAGAAACAGGATAGGTGAGTAAATTCTAGCAGCTAGGAGGTATGCTGCTTATACACAGCACTCTATTAATCAATCCAATGCCAACTTATACTCCTATAAAGTTCATCTTATAATCTTACTGACTGATGCTGGTATCACATGAGTGGGGCGTAATGCGTATTTAGTATTTACAGGTACCGCCAAGCCCACTTGCCCGGAACAGGAAAACAGCATAGCTCCATCCATCATTCTTCATTTCAGTTATCTTTCTTTTTCTTGAATTTCCCCCGCTAATCCATGCTTCAGTCTCTCAATCGCAAAGTTATAATCCGTCTACAGCATGCCTGATAGCTAGCGCAGCGATTGCCCGCCAGCAGCCAACAAATCTACCCGCCTACCGCAGCTCATGCGCAATGCGACGAACATCTATTCTGACCCTCTAGGAAATCGCACTTAGTACTCCGCACCCAGCGCAGTTCACAATGCCTCGTCCCCGCAGATCCAATCGCGCCTCTGGCGCCAGGACAAAATACACCCATGATCCTTTCGAAGCCGCCGGTCTTAGCGACGAAGGAGAGGGTCCCTCCACCTCCGAAACTCCGCAGCGCAAAAAGGGCAAGGGAAAGGCGAAACAAGCTGTCGCGGATGAGGGTTCCTCGGACGAAGACTTTGCCATGGACGATGCCAACGGAGCTGATGATGACGACGACGATGATGATGATGAGTATAATGACAATGACGTGGAAATGGTCCTTGAGAATGAAGATGAAAATGCAGAGGAAGACGACGATGCGTCGGCCTCAGAAGTTGACGGGGGCAGTCGTCGTCAGCGGAAGAAGCCTGCTGCTGCCGCGACGCCAAAGCCCAGCAGCAGTGTTAAGAAACGTCGTCCGGATGGGAGTCTTGCTGTGCCCGGGGAGGAGACGCATTCGCGCGGATCGTGGAACCCTCTTGAGCATGTTGGAAAGGCGGTTCATCTGCGCGTTACATTCGGCACGGATGAGAGGGATATACTTTCTATTATAAGTGCGCGGGATCGTTGGTATAAGGGGGTCGATTCTACGTTTCCGACGCGCGAGACTTTGAACGAGTCGCATGATTTGCCGGATTATGGATACGGGAATTCATTTGGCTTGGAGGCTGAGGACATGAAACGGGAAAGCTCCCGTGCATGGGACTGGTACTATAGTAAGGATGTGGGTGCACCGTTTAGGAAGAGGCAGCGCATTCAGAAGCTTAAGGAGAATGACGCTCGCTCGGTCTACTTTCCTCGTTCCCGAGGGCCACATACCGTGCTCGCTGGCCCGGTTGATAACCAGAAGGTCTTTTCCCTCGCGCAGAATGATGTGCTTGATTTCGGCGAGGCTTGGGATGATGAAGCTTCTACAGCGCAGAAACAGGGGAAGCAAGCCAAGACAAAGCAGTTTGAGCGAAAGAAAAAGAAGCGAGAGGGTTGGCTCCTTAATCTAGGGAACAAAGTCCAGTGTTTGGCCTGGGTGCCAAATCAAACTGGCCTCACACAGTATCTGTCCGTCGTGGCTCCAATCCTACCAGACCAGAAAGAGCAGTATCCAGATCCGTACAAGGACCAGGCGGCTCCAGCATTCAGACCCTCAGCGCCTTTTCCGTCTGCCCTGCAGCTTTGGGAGTTCAAGGCCGAAGAAGCCGCGTCATTGACCAAGACAATCGATATGACCTCCAAGCCGCGATTACGCCTCGCGCTGTGTACCGACTGGGGAGATCTGAGGCGAATGGCCTGGTGCCCAATGCCTCGAGACCCGCGGAATGGAGACGACAAAGACGCGCAGGTGAACGTCGGCCTACTGGCAGGCATATGGGGAGATGGCCGGGTGAGGGTCATCGACGTCAAACTGAGTCGTGACCCGAACCAGACCGAATACTGTACGTCCAACTACCAAAGCAAAGCCCAAGGCGCAAACTAACTGTTCAGACAAACTGCAAACCCCCGTCTTCGAGGCAAAACCACATTCGACCGTATGCACCTCTGTGACATGGCTCTCTCCCAGCGACATCGCCGTAGGCTGTGCCAACGGATTCGTCGCCATCTGGAGCATCGTCTCATCGCCATCTTCCCCCTCCAATCCCATCCCCTACTTCTACCAGCAACTCCACTCGACGTGGATCCTCAATCTCGCCTCCGCCTACCCAACCCATCCTTATCTCATCAGCACCACCTCCATGGACGGCGAAAGCCGACTCACCTCCATCATCGACCCTCAAAAAGACAGCGTCAGCGCAAACCGCATGCGCGTAGGCACTGCTCACCTCACCTACTCCCCGCTCCTGCACTCCTTCGTCTCGGGCGACGAAAACGACTTTCTGCGCCTCCTCGCCATCCGCCGCTTCTTCACCTCCACCGCCGTGGCTCGCCTCCCGAGCATGGTCTCCGCCCTCGGACCCTGCAGCTTCTGGCACCCAAGTCTCCTCGTCGGCTGCACCGGCGGCACCGTGCAAGCCACGAATCCCCTCCGACGGATGATGCACGCCAAGGAGAAACAATGGCAACAGACCTGGTTCCAGCATGAGTGGGCGCGTGGCTCAGGCTCAGGCACAGGCACTAGTCGGTTTCACGACGGCTACCGCGCCGAACACACCAGCTTGCTGCGTAATCTGGTCGGTGACCCGAGACTGATTAATGGCACGGCGGTGATTACGATCTTTGATGAAGAAACCCACGTCACTGCGCTCTCGTGGAACCCGAATCGGATCTGCGCCGGGTGGGCTGCGGCGGGGATGGGATGTGGCCTGGTTCGGGTAGAGGATTTGGCATTGTCGTGAGGTTTAGGAATAGGAACGGCCTGACAGTAAGAGACAAAGGATACATTGATCATAATCGTAAGGACCAAAAGAATAACTGTTCGACCGCTAAATGTATTACGTAGACTCATATGTCTGAGAACGATAATATCATACATGCATGCAGGGTCCGTCGATCAGCAGCATCTCGAAGCCTGCCTGAGGCTCGGAGCGTAGGGCAGCATGCGCGGCCTCAGTAACTACTGATACTACTCTCTTGAGGCATGTATAGTATGACGTTCGTTTAAATGCAAGACCAGGCACATATACCTAAGGTATATGTAGTATATTATGCCGTGGAGAATGCCAATACTGTTAGATAGCATAAGATGATCTACCCCAACCATACGATAACCACCGAACTCATTGAACAAACCCACCAGGACACTACTAAAGACACATGCGTAGTAGGCATATCACAGCGACCGGTATATTGTAATCACAATAATCCTACTAGCTAGCTACTATACGCTCTTAATATGTTCCTTGCTTGGACCATAACTAAGTGCCTAATTCTATAGGCAAGGTAAGTTAGTACCATGCCACATAAAAACTCTCCATCTGAGGATATACCAGCTACAGCCAATCTAGTGAGCAATTGCAGATGATGACGTTCTCATCTACAATGTATCATAGCATGACTCCAAATCTTATCTTCTCCGTTGAATAACAGGGCGTACGTATCACTATTCAAATTCTCTCCTAGAGAGTAACTCACTTTCCGGAATCTTCTAAGTGGATTGCGTCATCTCGGTGATGTTTGATATACTACCAAAGTTCAATAGTTCCTGGAGGAGGGGGTTCATGTACAGGGATGGATGGCGCAATCTTTCATTGTTCTTCTCTTATGTACTCTGCGGTGCGAGTCAGGAGAAGGAGTATTTGAGTATTTGGGAAGTATAGGTATAGCGTAAGCTTGGGATATGGGGATTTTTTAGACTGGATGCTTTCTTAGCGTAGACTTGATTTGGATTTGTTAGGGTAATCTCTGTAGGTGTGGGAGAGAGAAAAGTTAGTAGTAGTATCTAGTTTGGATTAGTTCGTGATGGTGTTAGTATTACTATTGTTTACCCTTGGTTTAGTTAGGGTACATATGCTTTGCTTTCTCTGTGTGAATTAGTTATGGGAAAGATATCCATTCTACTGTATGTTTAATTACCTTTGGAACTTACTAGAATGGCTGCTTTTTTCTCATCTACTATCTAGAAGAAGCAATCATACGATTTAAAAACATATATCTATACTACCTACGACGGAGTAAACCCCTCAAGGCATATCGGAGTATATCTACTCACAACGCCGCGGCCGGAGATATTATTACGCGGCCCACCGTGCATGAGATAACCGCTGGCCACGAACCAACATCATGTCCCCATGGCTGTGGCTTTTTTAGCCGCTAACTCGGTCACACCGCAGCCAGATGCGTTGAGCTGTTCCTTGTGATCGGCACGGGGGACCGTGGGCGCTTGCATGGTCGATCACCGAACCTCGAGAGGGTGCGTGCTACATAAAGGGATGTTATTGGGCTGAGGAGTGAGCCACACTAAGATAGGATATACTTAGTAACGCCTGAATGGCTGGAACTCATGGCGCGAGTGAGTTTGGATGGATAGCTGTAGATATGGGTAGAATCCATGAACAAATCTCGAATCCCATTACAAGATACTACCGTGGCAGTAGCAGCACTTACCTGTATAGGTAAATAGACAATGATTTCGACGCGTAACACACCAGATATCACTGTGTCCGTCGTAGAGTGCATGCTTCTCCCCTATGCATCCGGAGGTGCCGTAGGAGATGCAGGCAACTTCGAAACCTGAGTTGGCATCTAGATCTAGGAGAACACGGGGAAGGGGATCCCGAGGACCCTGCCTGAGCTGGGGCCGTGATGCGCTGTGATATGATGTGATATGATATGCCCATGGCAAAATGCTGATCCTGCTTTATTAGCTATCCCTGTTGCGGTGCCATGCCTAAAAGGGAGTAAAAAGATGAGGGAGGAAAAGGTATGATGAGTCTTTAGTGTTTGGTGGGTTGTCAGTCGTTTCTTCTATTGACTCGACTCAGTACCTTCTACGATACTGTTATTCTGTACCACCACATACTGTGTTTCTGCTGTCGAGGTAAGGTGTAAACGGGGGATAAGTGGCGCTCACACCGCCGCCGTGTTAATGCTCCGGTAAGCTCTGCTGGAGGTTAGAAATTCAGAGCATGACGTAGACGTGATGGAGATCTACGGTCCAGACTTTAGACATTGTGTGATTCAAGCAGGATGTAGTAAGTACGTAGTAACAAGGGCAATGAGACAGTCTGAGATGAACCTGGATTGGGCTGTGAGGGGATCAGCGAGGATGTAGATTAGAAAAAGTGGATCCCTTACCCAGCCACTTTGGATTTGACAGCAGAGGAGGGCCCGGTCAGGTCACGGGATTTCCAGCTTTAATTAGCACGTTTAGTGCCATTTTCTAATTTTTGGCGCGACATTTAGTTGATTTAGTAGAAAAATAAAAAGTACATAGTTATTTCCATTCATTATCTTCATCCATTGGCCATCTAAATCATGCTGCCTGTCGAAGATATAATTGGCACAAAAGAAATCAATTAACTCACAGGGTCTTTGCCGCTGGGAAAACGGCGATCCGTTGTTCTAGTGCCCTTCTGCCCACCAGAAACCAACGTGGCTGGCAGAAACAGTCTCCATCCATCCCATCCCAGCCTCCTTTGACAGTATCATGATGCGCCAGCCTGCACCTTTTTTTTCTCTCCGACGATGGGGCTTCGTGCCGTGTATGATGGCATATACATCTGCCGCACCCGTGTAGATCTTGCTTGCTTGTCACTGATTTTCTTAATTAATTTTTTCTAGGCGCCAATTCTTGTTGTGTTCATAGCCTGGTTGGTCGGTGTGTGTGCTGTGTTGCTGGTGAATCCAAATCATAAATTGAGCCCTTGTCTCGTCCGTTGTTGCTGTTGCTCCAGTTTCAAATCACTCGGTCTAATCAAAGGACTCTTATACTAAGCATTCTAATCTTCTTATAATCCTTGTTTTGTTTGTTAGAACTATCTAGTTTGCTTCTCTGCCTCTGTGTTATATCTGTCCTGGTCTTCCCTTACATTCAACATCTACAGACCTTTCCATATTGTACCGGCAGCACCATGCATACCGCTGCTCTCTTCCTTGCTCTCTCCCTCTCTGCCCATGCGGTGCCTGTCCTCAACGCTCGTGGAAATCACACCGTCGAGCGTAGAGAAGAAGGTCCCTACAAAGTCGTGAATGTTGCGGGCCCTACTACTCCCGTTGTCGAGACCATCACTGCGACCAATCCTCCGGCACCGCCCACCACTATCACCGTCACTGAGTACCCCTCGTCCACACCGGCTTCTGTGCCTGGCGCTTCTCCCTCACCCTGGAATGCCGGGCCTACCGTGGATGGTGCTCCGCTGGAACGCCGCCACACCAACAGCAGCGCAAGCGCACTGAGCCGACGCGCGCTGTTTGAGGAGGATGCCCCTACCAACAACACTGCGAGCCGGCGTGGGCTCGTGGAAGATGCTACCAACAGCACTCTCAGCCGACGCGTGCTGTTTGAGGAGGATGCCCCTACCAACAGTACCGCGAGCCGACGTGGAATCCTCGACGATGCTACCAACAGCACTCTGAGCCGACGTGGGATGTTTGAGGACGCCCCTACCAACAGTACCGCGAGCCGACGTGGAATCCTCGACGATGCTACCAACAGCACTCTGAGCCGACGTGGGATGGTGGAGGATGCTACCAACAGCACCGAAAAGCATGCAATGGCCGCTCGCAGTAACACCACTTCCGAAGTTTTGGCTCGTAGCCTGAACGAGACAGCTGTGCAGACTCGGCAGCTCAAGGATGCCCTTGTTTCCGAGCATTACAATGCCAGCGATGTTAGTGGCAAGTTCGGGGTTATGGCTCGGGATACTCAGAAGCCCGAGAACGCCACCGATATTGGCAGCAAGGTCGCAGTTCGCGCTCGGAATGATACAGTTTTGCAGACACGGGCATTCAATGACACCCCCTCTGACACCGCCGTCATGTCTTCCAGGCCCCACGCCAGGGGCCTGAACCACACAGACTCTCAGGCGTAGAGTCATCTTCAGGGGTCATTGTGACGCTTGCCCCAGGTTCTGCCATATCGTTCTGCAGGTTTGAGAAATTGTTGCCAACGACTGGTATGAAACACGTTTTCATGAATTTGATGGATAATGAGCATGTGGTTCTTTCACGATCTCGGTTTTCTGCATCGTCACGACAAGTCATGACTGCTCATGGTGGGGGGTGGGGATATGGTCATGATAGCATGCATCTATAGGGGCGTTTTGATTTTTCCTTTTCATCCCTTCCTTTCATTGCTTTTTTTCTTTTTTTCTTTCTTATGGTTCTCTGGCGGTTTTGTGCTCTCTTGTGGGAAAGGCTTTTCTTGATTTAGATAAGAGGTAGCGATTGCTTTCGTTGCGATTTCGGGTTCATACTAGGTCTAGATTGTGGTTGGGTTATTTTACTAAGGTATAAGATAGATTGCTATAAAAAATTGGAATGGCTGGATGGTATACAAAGAAGCACTTGATTTAACCACTAGTTTAAAAGACAGCAAAAGGACTGAATAAACCGGCCGCTGTTTGTGATGGCAAGCAGTTTTCAGAGACACATGACCGGATTACATCATATCGTTGTGTTAAGTTATTTCACTAGTACTTTGTTGATTATGGCTTATTATTCTTTCATGTCGTTTTTCTTTCTTCATCCCTTTTCCATTCTATTTGATACTGTAGTCTAGATGTACTAAATGGAACAGATTTCACTAAATAGGATTTACACGACAGTGAGGTCGAGATCTAGATTATATCTGCATTTTCATGGGCCCTTAACATAAGTATATATTTATTGCCCTCTGCGGATGGAAAGGTGGAGGAAAGATAAAAGCGGACACATTTGGTGTAGGTACATGATTTTACATCACGAGCTTCAGACGGGTGACTATAATATCTCAAAGTCAGGCATTACATCTATTCAACCGCGCCAGCCTTAACGAGCATTTCCACTATTTTAGGCCGGTCCATCAATCGGGCAATCTTCAAAGCTGTGCTTGTGATACCATCTCGCTCAAACTGCTGATTCAAGTCTATCCTTCCTGAATCCAGTAACAGCCTGACTATGGCCTCGTCATTCCGCATGACCGCCTCAACTAGTGGTGTTTTGCTTCCCGATAACGATGGGTTCGTCTCTACCGCCTCCATATCAAGCAGCATCTTCACCATGTTATATCTTCCTACGTGCACTGCCACTGTGAGCGCGTTGCATCCCCGCCAGAATCCATTCATATCGATACCTTCGGTATGAAAAAGCATTTCGACTATCTCGTCGCTTGAGTAGCGCAATGCGAAGATCAAGGGTGTACCATGGTTGCCTTCGTCGCGGACATCAACTTTGCCACTATCAAGCAAGCATCGCACGCTTGCTACGTGTTTTGAGGTTATGGCGTGGAACAACGGAGTAAAACCAATTGTGTCCTTCATATTCCAGTCTAGTTTCTCACAGTCAAGCAGGAGATTTAGGACCTCGACATTACGACAGGATGCAGCGACGTGGGAAATCCTTTGTGCCCAAATACCCCAAGCGTCTTCGATATCCTCGTTTTGAAGGATTCTCTTGACAACCGAAGTCAGGCCGAGTTTGGCGGCCATCCACAATGTATTGCGGTTCTCATCCTCCGAGGGCTCAGCCTCGCACCAAGAGGCAAAGGCATCAGTTTTTGGATCACAGATTCTGGTGAGGATTGGCTGCAGTTTCTCGTCATCTTCCAGTGCTGCAGCCCGGAAATGGGAAAGCCACTCGTCAGCAGAATATTCGGAGAAGTCTGAATTTATATTAATCGAAGTTAGATCTTCTGTTGAGCTGGTACGATGAGCCCGTGGCATAAACTTGTCGATATATGTGATGCAGCTGGTTGCAAGGACGCTTTGTGCCTCCTTTGGATCAATTGGGCCACGTTCGCTGCAGCGACCAAAGCCATTTTCCTGCGCCAGGAATTCTCGTGCTGTTTGGTGTAGGAAAAACACCTTTTTGTTATTCACTGTCAGAAGTAAACCGCACCAGCTTCGCAACGAGGCCTGAAAGTCTTCGTCCGATTCTAGATCCAGCTCATCTGAGTCAAGGTCTAGATTAACAGCAATATTCATCTCCGTCAACGTCAAGGGGCGGGATGCAGCCAGCATAATGCAAAAGGCCTTTCGTGCCATGTCCATGTCCTCAGACTTGAGAAGGATCTTGTAATATGAATCGTTGACGTTCTTGGGGAGCTTATCGATGAAAACCCTGTCAATCTTTTGTTTGACCTTTTCAAAGCTATGTGTTTCGAAGTATTCAAAAACAAGATGGACCCAGAGGTATGTCCGGTGCTCCATTCGAAGTAGTCGCTTTTCCAAGTAGCTCTGGATGGGGGCAGAGAGACCTTTCTTTCGAGCCAGGCGCTCAACACGATGCTTGATGACGATGTTCACTTCTTGGCCAATCTTGTCGGATTCATTTTCGGCCGGTATGTGAATATGGGGAGAATGATCAATGAGCTCTCGGAATTCCGATATGACGTTCTCGTACGGTCGGCTGGTCAGTAAGAACCTAGCTCTGGTTCCACCATCGTTTTGAGTGGACTTAATGTTGTCTGTCAGGCCAACTAATTCGGAATCCTTGCATTCATCTAGCGCATCCAACACAAAGATGGTTTGTCCCATAGCAGGGTCCTTGATGACCTGGGAAAAGATTTCCCAAAGCTTAGTAACCACGTTGACGGTTTCCTTCCCGTTGTCCTTGATTACGTTCATTGCGAGCTTGATCAATTCAGGCTTTTTCGTAAAGATCTGATGCAGCATTGCGCAGATAGCTTGCTTCTGTGTATTCTGGTCTCCATCTTTGAAAAAAAAGTAGCATATCGTGGCGGATGGATTGCACTGGAGCAACACATTGTCGACGAGATGCTTGGCAAGAACAGACTTGCCACAACCAGGACCTGCTGAAACGATCAAAAGCCCTCTATCATTGTCCAGCCACTGGTTAAAATGGGGCTGTTCTAGAAACCATTCGCAGGTGCCCTCGACTCGATTGTCAACTCGGCTCTTGTACAATTCATAGGAAGAGTCCTCCTCGTTTCTGGCCAGGCGGAAAAGCTGCCTACATTCTTGTTCCTTGACCGACAATGCTTCCTCATGCATCTGGCGTTGGAGGTTGAGAGCCTCGATATCCACTTCAAGGTGCCGTTGTGCCAATGGAAGAAGCTTTTGCATTGACTCAAAGTTGTGGCGAGTACTTTGTTCCACTTCCTTTAGATGCCGTCGGGATACCTCGGTGCTAATGGTGGCAGCATCTTGCTGGACCAACTTTTCGAGATCTTTGATCGAGGAAACCATGCCGTTCCAATCTTCCGGTTGGAAGATATCGCCAGCGAAGTTTCGCTGCCAGCTGCGATGGAAGCGCAGAACACTCTTGACCTCAAAGTGCAGGATTTCCTGGTACAACTTGACAATGTTGGCATTGAATTGTTCTTTCAGCCCCGTATGATCCGAGCTCCGGCTGGAAGTTGACCACAAAATCCGCTCCAGTTCGATATGATAGCGAATGCGACCGGTGACATACGTAAATCCACTCTTGTTGGCCTGTGCCGCACTCTGGGGGTTCGTCAGCAATGGCAGGACAATGCAGACCCCTGCCCATGCCAACGACGCTTCTGGCGATGCCTTGACCGCTTCTTCAATGAAGTCTTTGACAGACAAAATCCAGTCTGCAGCCTGGGCCAAGCCTTCCTGAACATCCGTCCTTTGGGTTTTTGCCTGATGAAGCCCGTGTTCGATGATGAGGTCCAAGTCTTGTTGGCGGTTGGTCCCATTCTTGCAAGAATTATCATTTTTCCTTGTTAGTATTCAGAACCAGGAAAGGTAAGAAGAACTCACTAATCTCCTGTCTTTGTTTTGCCAATAATTCTTCGTATTTTTTAATCAAGCCTGGATCGAGTTTATTATACGCCTGGTCCCAGAGCGATTCATCACGGGCCGGTGTTTCCTTGCTGAGAGAAGCATCGGTTGCCTTCACAGGCCGATCTCGTTGAGCAGGCCGAGGACCGGCTGCCCCGTTTGCAACCGCCGTGTTTGCTGGCTGAACATGTTTTTCGTGCGTTGGCTTCTTTCCAAGCAACCTTTTCAATCCTAAACAACACATCTTGCCCGTGCGTGTGCCGTGGGTGTTGACGGGGGGAAGAATCTGTCATGTCAAGTTCGATTCTCTTGTCTGCGGCTGAACACGCAGCAGCTGAAAGATACGGCCTAAAGATACGGCCTAAAGACACGGTCTAAGCAGCTAGTGAAAGGCGTGATAGGCGTGTTTGCTTTTGCTGCTCCACCCCGCGGAAGTCCATCCACGAATCCGCTACGGAAAGCAGGGATGTACAACCAGTGGTTTCTATTAGAGTCTTGAACGATCAATCTTCCTTTCCATTAACCAAACCTCTCCACTTGCGGAGAAGATGCCCAACAACTTGACCGACGGAGTAGACTCCATCCGTACTGAGGGCATCCACTTTGTCGTTGACGCCAGTTAAACCCGACGTAATTCATGTGTCCGGAAAGGCTGGGTATATGGACTGTTCTAAATTGAGGCTCGACCAAGTGAATAATCGAGCTTCGCATACGGAATTTATGCCTAGAGATTGAAGTCAACAGGCGCTATGGTTTCCCTACGCAAGGACGAACTGATGGCAATCCTCTGCGCCAGTGGAAACTGCAATGCTTGTTCGATACCAATGTCTCATAGCATACTACATCCAGTTGACTAGCGGGCTTGAACCTCCGCCATCGAGATTACCCCGGATGAGGTTGATCTTTATATGCGCATTAGGATGAACTTTTATATATGCTCTCCATGCGTGGGTATTGTCACACCATCTGCCTTGGGTTGATTAAAATCCCCTCTGCTGGCACAGTCGGCAGCCTGGTCATGCCATTTGATCTCTCCCAGCTTCAGGAAGTGCGAGAGATAGAGACTAGCGGAAAATAGAATCGAAAGACACGATTCGTCCTTACCATGAAGATATCGACTTCACTTTCGCAACGACATTCGGAGTGTTTCGGGGCCCGTTTTCGTTGGCCAGCCTGCTGCCTGCGAACGATTGTTTATACCCTGCTGTGATCGG